AAACTAAGGCTTGCCGATGATTTCTACCTCTTTTGAACTAGTTTTTATTGGTTTTATGAGTTGCAACTTACAAGTTAAAAGTTAGAACTTGAAAGAACTGAAGGGGGTAGAGCTCCTATTTTAGATCAACAATACATAGGGAACAAATACTAAAATAAAAGAAGAAAATGAAAAAGAAAAGTAGGGGGCAGAGCCCTTGTTCTAGACCCAGCAAATCTTGTGAAAAATTATTAAAACAAAAGAAGAAATATGACGAAGAAAAGAAGGGATGGAGCCCCTGTTTCAGAAACCAATGATGAGRACAAAAAAAAGATGAAAAAAATGGAAGAAATTAAGAACAAAAGAAGGGGGCGGAGCCCCTGTTCTAGACCCAGAAAAGCTGGTGAAAAATACAAAATGGGGCGTAACCACTGTTAATCAGGAAACTGATTAACTCACCTTGACTTTAGAGTACTGTATGGGAATGATGGAGGCTGTTGTTCTCTCATCTTCCTCGGTTCGATACTTCGATTCTATTGTCAATGTGAAAGTATGAAACCCTCGAAGATTAACCTTTTTTTTACTTTCCTCAAAACAAAAGCATGATAACATTGCAATAGGTTCTATTATAAAAACTAAAACAACCAATAAAATATTATATATTTTATATTTTTTTATTTAATAAATATTTATATAATATATATTTGCTTCAGCCCACTAAGCATGTGCCTAACATAGTTGGCGTTTGGGCGAGGCGTTCTTTGAAAAGCGCCTAGTCGCCTAGGCGACGCCTCACCTTGACAGCTATGATTAGGAAATAATGAACTATAGTTATCTTGTTTCTGATGAAGATAGTATACAAATGAAACAGTATCCTTTCRATTTCTTTTGGTGCCTGCGCCTAGTATACCTAGGGTCAATTGCTTTGTGATTAAGTGAAGATGGATGGGTTATGACCTTTTATGTTACTTCACAGGTTTGCTTTTCTCCAAGTTCAGATTTGGGTGGAAGGCAAATCTTCATGCTATACCACTTGAACAACCTAGCAAGTGTAGCTTTCGGACCTTCATGGTGGTTTTTGAGAAAGAAAAATCTACTAACTCTTATCAGATTATATCATCATTTGATCATTCTTCTCTTGATTGTAATGAGAATCAGGTAGTAAAATTCTCCTTGTTGCTTTAGATAGATTTCCTTTTGACAGTCGATTCATAGAATTTCTTTAACATACATCCCTATGAGGGCTGTTTGAAGCACTTGAGTCATTAATTGCAGAGTCGAGGGCTGTTTGAAACACTTGAGGAAGAGAACAAATTGCGAAGTGAATGCTCCAATGGTGTTGATGTTCTGTACACTCTTGAAGATCTGCAGCTAGGAGCTAAAGGAGATTTGAAGGAACTTCTCCCAGGTCGCAGAATCCAGCTTACTTTGGGTGAAGTGGGAAATTCYCATTTCAGTTATAAAGCTGTGCTTTTGGATGCTAAACAACAGTATGATCCATTCTTATATCACTGTGGTGTTTTTCTTGTGCCTAAGGTCAGTATGCTTTATTTTTCCCTATCTTTATTGAACGTCCCTTTTGCTTTTCTGCACGAACCATGCAGTCCAACAATCTGATCCATTCTTGTATGACTCTGATCTTGATATGGTTTTGAAGCTTCAGTTTGGAAGTATTATCTTCAATTGCTTGGGGCAAGGATGTATGGATTCCTAGAACTTTTTTTTT